TTTTTTTTTCTTTTTTTAGGTTTGCATGCATCAAAAGCTATACTTTCATTAACTGCTCATTTAAGAGGCAAGATGTCTGCTGAAGTAATCACATGGTCTATTGAGGTTTAAAATCTAGTGATGAACACATCTGTGGACTGCTAACAGATTTGTCTGAGCAGAGGAGGATGGCAAGGTACCAGTGCCAAGGAGCTGCTGGGTTGGCACTTATGATCTGCAAGTTAGTTGAGAAGTGATTCCCTGSTTGAATTTAACACTTGCTCTCCATTTATTTGAAAAGTGGTAACTTTTTGTGCATATTTATGCACGTGTCTGTGTGTGCTTGCTATCCAATACACAGGGAGTACCACACAACTGGTCTGGGAGGAAAGGATTGGCTCTGCAGGTTTTGAATATTTAACTTAAAATTATTTAGAGAACAGGACCTAAAGTTAGTGTCTGGGGGAAAAATAATAATGAGATTGAAAACAATTTATATGAATGTGGACATAAAGGAAAAGCACACTGATATTATCCTGATTGTTGTGATATGCTGTAAGGAAATAAAATCTCTCCAGGTTGGTAACACATAAATATAGAGGGACAGAGGGAGTGAGAGAGGGATCAATACATAGATAAATATATATATACCTAGGTTGAGATKAATTATAGTAATAACACTGTAATGTCTTCCTATATAAATTGCTCCTATAGCTGATTTTAAAATATCTCTCTGGACTCAATTCAATCTAGATTAATTTGATTTAATTCTAGGCACTAATATGAGAACCTAAAAATAGAAGCTGAATGGTCCATGTACTTCCTGTATATAGTCTTCTGATAAAACATATCCGTCAATCAAAGGCAAAAMATCCCTCCAAGAGCAGTTCCCCCATGTCTGGTGAATTCAGGACAACCAAAGGCAACTTGGCTAGAAATACAGACCCATTCTAAATCCCATGTCTTCATAGGAGTATAGATCTAAGGTTGTGTTCAGTAATTTTCTCTGTAAATTCCTCAATAATGAAGTGCTATATTAAGTAAGAATGTTTTATTAAGTGAAAATGTTAATATGACCATCATTGTAGACACACATAGTTATTATTYCATTCTGACATTGTGTGCTATTTCATTTCTTCTGGCATGAAAGAAGCAACATTAGAATGTCTTAGGAATGAAAACAAAACTACTTCCAATAACAATTCCACAAGGTGAATCCTTAGAAATTATCAAGGAAATATTTTTAATATGTGTAACTTGTTGAAATAGACATAGCCTGAATTTGCAGCTCTGCACTWAACTTCTATCAATATGTGCTGACAAATGCTATCTAAAGAAGTAAAATCTTGTTTCAGCATTTGTATTGAACATATTTTAGCATTCCTGTTCAACAAAGCAGGTAAAAGAAYACTTTTCTTATTTATGTGCTTTAGTCTAGTAAGTCTAAACTTAAAACCATCATTCCTTAGATATGTGCATGTGCTAGAGATAGGACTACAATCAAGAATGGTTTTAGAAAAGAAAAATGTTTGAAACAGTTAWTAAATAGATAGGGAGGCTATAATTWGGAATTTGTGCAGGGAAATGTAYGTGCACAATTTTCACAGATAAGAACTGAGCCCTAAATTAGGACATGTTTCTCCAGGTGCCATTATTTGATGAGTATGTTGGCTTTTTGCATTGTTTTTACCATTTTGTTCTTTAGTGAATAATGTAAGGTTCAAAGCATAGCTCCTGTGACATTTACATTAAAAACTGTCTTTACTATCTAGCTGTAAGAAACCTACTCATTAATGAAATCAGTAAGAATATTTTGTTTAGTGTATTAATGAGCGATTGTGAACTTGTTTCTGGGTTTTAGTTGACATGAAATTTCATTTCTATGAAGAAAAAGTGCTCCCAACTTTTCTAGGCTAAGGAAACCAAAGAGCTAAAATAACTAATGCCATAGAAATCATTAGTGTTTAGAAACAGGTACATTTCCCCTGCATGTTTTAAGGTATAGATTCTTTTTTTCCAGCTTGGTAGCTAGAAGTGTGAAGAAAAAAATTAAAAACCTGCAAWTGACTCATGAATACTATAGCATTTTAATCATCATAGTTGGTGCAATTTAAGAAATTTATAGTGATCTTATATTTTTATTATTTTTATATTATTTATACCTATAAGRGACTAGAGAACTCGAGTGTGAACAATGTTATGCTGAACATTTTCATTAACATCATCAGCCCATTGCAGTCTTCKGCATTCTCACTGAATCATTTAAACACAATAAAAATATTTCCTGCTAAAGATATACCAAATATTGTGCTCAGCATCACATTGCTTGGTCTTTRTCTCTAGCCTCACATTTATTATGTGTATTCATTTAGCTTCCACAAAAGCTTGTAGATGTCTCTCTAGGTAGCCAGATGTTTTACAAATGAGTGCTTAGAGAACTCCTTTCAAGTTAATTCCTTTTCCGTCTAAACCAAAGCCYATTTAAATCCCATATAACCATTCAAATATAAAATAAAAGTAAGCTTTCAGCAATATTTATTCTCAGGTTGATTTATTTACCAATTTAGTCTAAATAAGTAGTGTGGACTTGCAGTTAACAAAAAAAAAAAAAAAAAATCTGGAACAAACAGAGATCATCTTCCTAAAATGAGTGCTAAGAAAGGAAAAGGCCCTAAATTTTGTGAAGATATTTCCAAGTAATTAATGTATTATTTAATATCTCTTTAAAGTTTGCTCATCTTTTGTTTAGCTGAGCTGTATCTTCTGATGCCAAATTTCTCCCAAATAGCAGAATTCTATTATTMCTGCACTGTAACAGAACAACATGTGTGAAACTGTGAGCATAATATTGCTGGAATTGAGCATTCTAATATTGTGCTCTTATGAAAATGGAACCCAATAAAAATTCATTATAAGAAGGAAGAGTCCCACATTYTAGTGAAATCAAATAGGTATCTCCAGCATTGCAGAAACAACAATTAGGCATGTTGTCTTGTTATATTTATAAAGCTGGCATAACTCTTAAATCAGAATAAGGCAGTGGTTTCATTAAATTAGTCTGGAGTACTATATAAGTTATATTGAATGCTGGCAATACTTAGAAATGGGGACATACATTCATAATTTTGATCAGAAGTGACTGACACCATATTATAAATACATATCATAACTTCCTTTAGCTGAACCTTCACACTTAAAGCTCTACCTGGGAAAATTGCATTGCTAAATCTCATTGTTTTAGGGCTGCACTCAAATGTAAGCCTTGAATGCATATATCCACATTCTTATTTACCTAAAGAAGAGGTCACCAAAACCATCATGTTCCCCCCTTAGGCTGCTCAGCATCAGTAATATTTGTCCCCATGGGTCAGTTATACCATACTCAAAGTAAGATCTGCTGCTGGATGGGCAACATCAATTCCACATGCTTTCCAAAGGACAACTTCACAATAAAAATCCCAGCCTGATATTCACATCCTTTATCTTACTGAAGGAAAATATTCAGTTTTCTGRACTCACTAAAGTTTTTTATAAAATTGTTTACTTTGGTCAAAGAGCTGTAGAAACAGAAAAGTCATACTGAATGTATCATGCATGCCCTTGCAGAATGTTGGCTTACCAGTTTATTGCTATTAATACTCATGTCATGAGATAATATGCAGGCTAGTGGATCATCACTGCTGTTCACTGTTTTTTACAGCCACAGAAGCAGATGATAGATACCCTTTTCCTATTAGTTCAAAGTGGACTCATCATTTGTCATTAAAGCTGCAAAAACAAGTCTTTCCGACAATGTGTTTTCTCTCTCTTTCTTTCTTTCTTTCTTTCTTTCTTTCTTTCTTTCTTTCTTTCTTTCTTTCTTTCTTTCTTTCTTTCTTTCTTTCTTTCTTTCTTTCTTTCT